ATTAACTTAAAATAAGGCCATTATGGTAGGTGCTAATCCAATCTGACTAGTGTCCTTATAAGGGGAGATTAAGACACAGGGAGAGACACCAGGGGGACACACACAGAGAAAGACAACCAAGTGAAAAGGCAGCAAGAGGGTAGCCATCTGCAAGCCAAGGAGAGAGGCCTCAGAGAAAACAACCCTGCCTGTACCCTGATCTGGACTTTCAGCCTCCAGAACTGTGAGAAAATAATTTTCTGTTGTTTAAGCCAGGCAGTCTGTGGTATTCTGCTATGGTAGCTCTAGCAGCCTAATACAAATGGCTCTTGGAGAAAAAGGATAAATATAAGGAGAGAGCAAAAGCAAAAATGGCAAGATGTTAATGTTGCTGAATCTAGGTAGAGGGTATACGGATGTTCATTACATCATTCTTTCAACTTTTATATAAGTTTGAAGTTTTCCAAAATAAAAAGTTTGGGGAAAAAAATTTCACTGGGAAATATATACACACACACGTACATGTAAGTTTGTATTTGTTTGTTAAAGCTGCCATAACAAAATACCAAAGGCTGGCTGGCTTAAATGACAAAAATGTGTTTCTCACAGTTCCACAAGGTAGAAGTCAAAGATCAAGGTGTCTGCAGGTTTGGTTTCTTCTGAGGCTTGCAGATGGCTGCCTTCTGGCTGTGTCCTCACATGGCTCTTCTCTGTATGTGCCCAGCCCTGGAGTCTTTCAGTGTACTCAAATTTTCTTTTCTTATAAGGACACCAATCAGATTGGATTAACTTAATCACCTCTTTTTTTAAAAAAAGATTTATTTATTTGTTTATGATTATTTATTTAATATATAAATATATAATAAATTTATTTTTATTAATATATTAAATATGTATTATTTATTTGTTTATTTATTTTATTTTTATTTTTGGCTGCATCAGGTCTTAGTTGCAGCACTCGGGCTCTTCCTTGCAGTGCGTGGGCTTCTCTCTAGTTGTGTGTAGGTTTTCTCTTCTCTAGCTGTGGTGCACAGGCTCCAGGGCACATGGGCTCTGTAGTCTGAGGCACGTGGGCTCTAGTTGAGGCGTGCGAGCTCAGTAGTTGTGGTGCATGGGCTCAGCTGCCCCACGGCATGTGGAATCCTAGTTCCCTGACCAGGGATTAAACCCACATCCCCTGCATTGTAAGGTGGATTCTTTACCACTGAACCACCAGGGAAGTCCCATTTACCTCTTTAAAGACCTTATCTCCAAATGAGATTACATTCAGAGGTGGTAGGGGTTAGGGATTTCCACATATGAATTTTGAAGGGACATAATTCAGCCCATAACCAGGTGTTTTCTCGTTATCCTTGCCCTTACAGTATTAAGTCTTTAAATCAAAAATTTTAATTCTATCATTTCTTCAATACTTTTCTAGCTATTTGTTTCTCTTTCTATAATTTCTAGTATGTTCAGGATAGGTCTAAAATTGTCCTCCAGGTAGCCATGAGTTAAACATAAGGATTTATACTTTTTGTGTGTGGTTTTTATTATTCTGTGTTTATTTATTCAACTTGATTTCTTAGGAAAATGATGTAGCCCCCAGTCATAGCTAACCTCTTTATCAGTTTGTCTACTAAGTTTAGGAATTCAGAATTTATTTTTAGTTCCTAAAACTACATTTGTGGGGACTTCCCCGGTGGAACAGTGGTTAAGAGTCCACCTGACAATGCAGGGGACACAGGTTCGAGTCCTGGTCCGGGAAGATTCCACATGCCGCGGAACAACTAAGCCTGCATGCCACAACTATTGAGCCTGTGCTCTAGAGCCCACTAGCCACAACTACTGAGCCCACGTGACACAACTAATGAGCCTGTGCTCTAGAGCCCAAGCCACAACTACTGAGCCCACGTGCCACAACTAATGAAGCCCGCACACCTGGAGCCCATGCTCTGCAACAAGAGAAGCCACCAGCCCCCACTCGCTGCAACTAGAGAGAGCCTGTGTGCAGCAACAAAGACCCAACGCAGCCAAAGATAGAAAGATAAATAAATAAATTTATTAAAAAAAAACTACACTTGTGCTCTAATTGTACTTCTTTGAGAGTTTTCATTATTTTGTTAAAGTTTTCTTTCCTATAGTCTATTAATTCTGTGTTCCACAGAAGCTACCTATTCAACTTATTCAGCTTCATTTTCCTCTCTCAAATTATTGAATTCCTTTCATTGGTCTTTGCCTACTCGTAACTGTTCCCTCAGCATCTGGACAGCTCAGACTACTGTTATTTATTAGAGAGTAAAAAACCAGCAGGTAATAAAAAACATGGAAATTTTCAGCACCAAGGACCAAACATGTTAACTAACTCAGCCCTCTGTTGAAGCACTGGAACGAGGTTTTTATAAGTCTGCCCACCAGGTTCAGTTCTCTTCTATAGAGATTAACAGGACTGAATTGTCCCTTTAAGCACAAAGCACATAGCAAATGTCAGGAACATGCACTAAAGCCAGCATCTTCTCACATTAACTCCCTGTCCCACCTTCATTGTTTCACACTGCAGTGTATCTCCCCATTCATAACTAAGATTATTAATAATAAAATAGTAAACAAATAATAACAAACAAGTCACATTAGCTCATTTAAACCCAACAATCCTATTGAAGCAAGGATTACCCACATTTTACAAATGTATAAAGTGATTTTAGGGAAGGTTAAGTGTCTTAAAGCCAGGTCCATTAACATGAATGCTTATATAATCTCTTCAGAACTAACATTCCTCCTACTTCCACGTTCATTTGTGTGACCTCAGGCACACAAATCTTTCTGGGCCTTATCTTTCCATTTGTAAAATGATGATGCTAATACCACCTACCTCACAAGGTTGTTGTACAAACCCAATGAGTGAATGAAGTCATATAAAATGATTAGAACAGTGTCTGGCATACAACACTTACTGGCTCAGTAAGTGTTAGCTTTAATATTATTATTTATCTGGCATCTTTAGCTTATTTGGCATCTTCTAGCTTAGTATTATTATTTATTTGGCATCTTGTAGCTTTTTTTTTTAAAAAGCCTATATTCTCAAATAACTCAAAAGAATCCCAATGATCTGGCACTTATCAGATCCACAAGTGGCTACTATGACAGTTTTGGGTAATAAACGCTCATTGCAGCGTTTAAAAGCTAACATGATCTGTCTTACAGTAACACTGTAAAAGTGGGTTCTTTGCAATAGTCACTTTGAATCTAATCACCATTTTTTTCATTAGAAAAGTTCAGAAGTCAAATACTACTGTATTTTGTTGTAATTTTTTTTAAGAGAATTAAGTTTCTAATCTGATTGGCTATCCATCAAATGGCTTCTAACAGTAGAAAAGGTAGCATTAATGTTCAGGTGTGAACAATAACGGACTTAAACTTGACACCTCAAAAACTGGGAAAAATAAGCAGAGGCAAACAAAGAGGCAAAACATTTGCCTTAAATAAAGGCAAACAAATGTAATCAAACAGAAGTTGATGCTCTGTAAGAAACATCAAGAAGCAAGATGGTTAATTTAGATAATTTAAGAAACTAAGGACTTCCCTGCCTGCCAATGCACGGGACACGGGTTTGATCCCTGATCCAGGAAGATCCCACATGCTGCAGAGCAACTAAGCCCGTCATGCGCCACAACTACTGAGCCTGCACTCTAGAGCCCGTGAGCCACAACTACTGAGCCCACGTGCCACATCTACTGAAGCCCGTGCGCCTAGAGCCCCTGCTCCACAACAGAAGCCACTGCAAAGAGAAGCCCACGCACCGCAACAAAGAGTAGCCCCTGCTCACTGCATCTAGAGAAAGCTTGTGCACAGCAACAAAGACCCAACGCAGCCAAAAATAAATGAATAAATAAATAAATAAAAATTAAAAAAAGAAACTAAAATAAGTACTAAAAAGTGACAAGCCTTGTAAATGGTTAAACTATCTGAACTAGATTAGCATACTAAATAAACAATTTAAAGCTAAGTATTTTGAAGGAAAATCAATAGCAAGACTTCTTAGAAATGTGTACATTTTCTACTCTGTGGGTAAGTATAAATCATCCTGTGACACTCCTAGGCAAGATGTATGTGATGACCAAAAATCTACTGATTATGAGGCAACCAAGATACAACGATTTCTTCAATGCTTCAGTATAAGTAGATTATTTGATGCCCTCTACAGTTATAACATGAAATTAAATTATCTTTTTTCAGTGATACTTACCCAATAGCATTGTATTAGAAATGAAAATATACTCAAGGTTTCAGGTTAAATCTGTGCTACTTATTTATGCTACTGCCTCTGGTTACCTGTTTTTATTTGTGCTCCTGCCTATAGCCAAAGTCTGCAAACAGAGATACAAGTCAGTCTTTAGCAACTACCAAAAAAAAACTGTTTTAGTCAAAAATCATCAATAGATGATAAAATCAGTGGGTGAAAGTTTGATGAGCCCATGGCAGAGCAGAATAATCTAGAAAAAGAAATTAGCATGTTGCTTCTTGATTAGTCAGCATCCCAAAACATCAGGTATTTTTCATCATCACAATAATCAAATTATATGTACCTATATAAAGTGAACCACCTTACTATCTCAGCTATGAAAAGAAGCTATTATCACCAAACATTAATAGGTATGTAGAAGATATTCAGCGAGATAAAGTCTTCTAAACTACTAACATAATGTTTGGTAGAGTAAGTATAATATTTAATAAATAGTGGGATCACTAGTGATACATATATTCAAATTCCGAATGAGAAATGTGATTCTGCTTGAGGTTGGCATTGTTGCAGTCCTATATCTGAGCAGTAGTTTAAGAAAATCATCTTAATCCTGAACGCAATTAACTTCATTCTCATATATACCAAAAGGACTAATCATTACAAGTAAAAAGATCAATCCAACATTGTTGAATCACTTTATATAAACATAACACAGAAAAACAATCACATTCTTGAGGTAAGAAATCACCAAAGGGATAACAAAGAAATTCTGAAATAAAAATGAAAGTTTTTAACTTACTGACTAACTAAATCAGATCCCATCTTAGAGCCATCATCTGCCTCTTCTTCCACATCAGAGTCCATACCACTGTCACCTTATGAATGACATAAAAAAAATTGAAAGCATGCTCATAAAATGTCAGAGTGATTTAATCATTATACAGAAAGTGTCATGTATAAAGTGACGATTAAATAACTTCAGTGTTGCTGAAAGATGACATTTTTAATTGCTTATATTTAAAATGCCTTATTAGGTATTTGTCATTGCCTTCCCTTGATCTATTTTATAAATGTACAAAATATATATAAGCAAGAAGGTGTGTACATATAATACTTACAAACTATACACGCATGTATACATCTATCACCATTTTACATTTTAAAAAGATGTTATCTCTGGAAATTGAAATTCTCCATTTTTTTGTTCCTTCTCTTGTAATGCTAATGCTAATATCCTTGTAGAGTCCAAAAAGAAAAGCTTTAAAATCCAAAATTCTACAGGTAATATATACAAAGAAGAGTCTTAGTTCAGGCAGACAGATAAATGTTGGCAATTCTTCTAACTCTGCATTTGGGTCTTATCAGAGCAGAAATGGTATTCAACAGATAATTAAAAGCAGTAAGAATATAAAGCAGAAAATTTTTAAATATTTTAAGAGAAGGCTTTGCCTTCTCAATAAGTAATTTTTTCTAGTATTTTGGATAAACATTTTTTATTTCTTTTTTTTACTGTGCACAAACTTAATGCTCTTACCTACACAACTGATTTGGAGAAACCATACATACATCAAAAAGTCCATTCCTGAGATGCTATTCTGATATGTAAACTACATTTCTGTACAAACAGAAGTAAAAATACTCAGTGATTACCCAATAATAAAATTAAAGTAGCAGTTAAAAAAAAAAAAGAATACCTCAGGATTTATGCTAAGTATAGTATTAACCACTAAGTTACCAGAAGGTAGAAATACGCATTCTTACCCTCAAGAATCTTCAAGATTTTTTTTTCAGACAGGAGCTCTAACTGTTCCTGGCACAGTTTTTTAATTTCTTCTATGGAACAGTTCTAAAGAAAATGACATTTTAAAAAATGCATTTATATAACAAAGCACCAATATAAACTAGAAAACAGCAACCATTTAAAAAAAAAAGTCTGCTAAGCAAAATCCTACAGTAAAACAAATTAAAAGCCACATAAATTTTTTTCTGGGATGAAATGTGAAGACCTGCCAGTTAACATGTAAATATTATAATTTATAGAGTTTTGATTTGGATATATAAAGTCATGTTTATTATGAAAGAACTGAAGAATAAGTAGGTGCCCAGATATTCTTAATAGCAGCCTACTTATGTTAGGTAATACCTCTAAAGGCTTAAATATTCAAGTCCTAGCTCCATACATCTTAGATATATATGATGTTGGGCTTAACTTGTCCACGGCTTTTTTTCCACATCTGTAAAATTAGAATACCATGTATTTCCCTGAATAATTTTCAGAGATAAATATATGAAAACATTTATGAATTTAATGAAATATAGGCTATTACCAACTATCATTGCATACTGTTACACAGCAGTACACTACTTCTTAAAGCACCAGAAAGAATCAGTATACCTCTAACTTAGTTACTTAAACTGCCTGTATTTAATAGAATAATTTCCAGAAGGTCAAAAAATTCCTTATCTAAATATAGTAAAGTACCCTATTTCTTCCTGGCAAATTTTTAAATATACAAAGCCATTTATGGTTCTACAAAATCCCTTCTTTATATCTTTTCGAAGTAGCTCATATTAGTTGAAAACGTCCGATTATAATTTCCATTAAGTAAAATGACTGCTATAAAAAAAGTGTTTGTATATTCTGTATATGTGGATAGCCTGATAATGTATGTAATGAAGTACCTTTAACACATCAGGAAGCATCTTCTGTAACTTCTTCTCTCCTATGATACAGAAACACTGCTGAAGCATTTCTTTTTTGTCTGATATATAGAAACTAACTGGTTTTAATGCCACAGTCAGGTCTAATCCACCTTCTTCAAGGTCACTGTGCTCTGCCAAGAATAACTCTTTTTCCAGAGTTGGCAAAAGATATTTGGCTTCCTAAAATTAAAAGAGATAAAGAACCATTAAACAACAGAGATATGTCTATAATGTTATACATTTTCATTTCATAAAATCTTCATTAAACATTTCCAAATTCTTTTTTTGCACAAATTATTTATTTAAAACCATAGGAAAGATTATTTAATTGCTCAGTATTCTTTGAAGTTACTCCCCACTCTGTAATTATCAATAAATTGAGAAAAAGTGAAGAGATAATATCCTAGGACACACAAATGAAAATATACTCAATACTGAATGATTTCCTACAATTTTATACTTGTGGAATACGATATTCCTCCAGTAGACAATTCACCCAAGAATTTTATGTATGCATTGTCATTCTTCTTAATTCATAAAAAGAAATGGGATAGCAGCAAAAATGTTATAAACCACAAATATTATATACTAAAGTATCGTTGCTTACCAGAAGCTATTGTCATTTTTTAAAATAAAGATTTCTTTTTAAAAAATATTTATTTATTTATTTATGGTGGCACTGGGTCTTAGTTGCAGCACACGGGCTCAGGCTCTCTAGTTGAGGCGCATGGGCTCAGTAGTTGCAGCATGCAGGCTTAGTTGCCCCGAGGCGTGTGGGATCTTGGTTCCCTAACCAGGGATCGAACCCGTGTCCCCTGCATTGGAAAATGGATTCTCAGCCACTGGGCCACCAGGGAAGTCTCTATCATTTTAAAAACTGTTATATATCTAATGATATTCAAAGCAGGCAAGTAATTTAAGACATTTCTATCAATTTTGCCTCCTATCTCCCAAATCTATCCAGTCTCTCCAAATCTACTGCCATAATCCTGATCCAAGGTACCATCCTCTTTTTGCCTAGATTACCTCAGTAGCACTTAACTTGACTCCCTACATCTAATCTGAGGTCTTGCCAATCTGTTTTGTATACTGACACCAAAATGGATTTTATAAAATGCACATATACTCATCCTCCCTATTTACTGATATAAGCTGTCAATGACTTCCCACTGTTCTTAGGGTAATATAGCCTATTAGGTCCTTCATGCTCATTGTGTTCCAAACACAACGACCTTGTCTGAACTACTCAAACATAAGGTGTTCTCCCTTCATTTCATACAGGCAGGGCTTTTGTACACACTGTTCTTCTGTCTAGGAGAGTCTTTCTTCCCCACTTCCCCATCACTCTATACTCCCAAGATCAACAAACTCAGGTATCAATTTAAAAGTCATTTCCTCAGGAAAATCCCTAACTATATTATTCAAGTAGGTTTCCTTTTTATACTTTCTAACGCAATTGTTTAAAATGCAGTTTAAAAACAGGCTAATATTAAAGAACACTATGATAATTACACTTAAAAAACAAAGGTTAGCTCTTGTTCTAATGGCTCACAAAGCAATTCAGGTGTTAGCAAGGATGTAAAGGAACTGAACTCCCATACAGTGCTAGTAGGAATATAAAATAGTGCAGCTGGTTTGGAAAATGGTTTGTAGTTCCTTATAAAGTTGCCATATGATGCAGAAATTTCATTCCTGGATATATATTCAAAAGAAATGTAACCATAATGTCCGCACAGAAACTTGTACACAAATGCTCATAGCAGCATTATGCATAATAGCCAAAAGTTGGAAACAATCCAAATGTCTATATCAATTGACAAATTAAAAACTTAAATGTGGTATTAGCCACACAATGAAATATTATTCAGCTACAAAAAGAAATGAAGTACTGATATGTGTTAAAACATGGGCAGACTCTGAAAAACAAATATGCTAGGTGAGAGAAGCCAGACACAAAAGATCACATATGATTCTATTCATATAAAATGCCCAGAACAGGGAAATTTATAAGTCTATAGAGGGGACTTCCCTGGTGGCTCAGTGGTTAAGAATCCGCCTGCCAATGCAGGGGACACAGGTTCGAGCCCTGGTCTGGGAAGATCCCGCATGCCGCAGAGCAACTAAGCCCGTGTGCCACAACTACTGATCCTGCGCTCTAGAACCGCGCGCCACAACTACTGAAGCCGGCACGCCAAAGAGCCCGTGCTCCACAACAAGAAGCCACCACAATGAGATGCCCACAAATCGCAACAAAGAATAGCCCCGCTCGCCACAACTAGAGAAAGCCCGCGCACAGCAACGAAGACCCAATGCAGCCAAAAGAAAAAAATCTATAGAGATAGAAAGTAGATTAGTGATTGCCTAGGCATAGAATGGGAGTATGAGTGTAGGGCTAGTAGGGATGACAGCTAAAAATTGCATATAGGGTTTCTTCTGGGGATGATGAAAATATTTTAAAATTGACTACAGTGATGGTTGCACCACTCTGTGAATATACTCAAAAACCAGTGAACTGTATACTTGAAATTAGTGAATTGTACAGTATGTGAATTATATCTCTATAAAGCTGTTAACAACAATAGGGAATGCAATATACAACAAATATTATGGCACTATTGGAATTTTGCGATGTTCTCTACATGCCTAATATATAATGACTTCTTTTTTTTTTTTTTTACAACTACAGTTACTTCTCATGAGAAGTACAGTTTAGTTCTGTATGCAAATGCTTATAGAATCCTTATTATTGGTCTCCCCATAATAATAAAGAGTACTAAAGACATGGAAACTATTTAAGATAAGAATGGTGATATCCAAAACTGAATCTAAAAGGGGTGGAAAAATGCATAGATCTATAACTATTGAAGAATTTGGGGAAAAATAGATGGCAGTTAAGAGAAAAAAAAACACCCCTAGAAAAATCCACCAGACCCCGACAGCTGTATGGTCCAACAGTCAAGTTCCGACATATCTTTGAGAAAAAGATATAAACTACTCTGGAACACACCAAAAAAAATGCAAAGCTTTCCCAATTCAATCCGTAAGGCTACCATAACCCTGATACCAAAACAAGACAGGTTAACTACAAAAATAAAAACAATAAGCTGATTTAACTTAAGAACATAGGTACAAAAGTAAAAATACTGAATTTCAGCCGAGTACAACAACCAAATCAACAAATCAAACAGTATTTATCCCAAGAATGCTGAGGACAATTCAATATAAGTTAACTTATCAATAAAATTACATAATCAGATTAAGAATGAAAACTACTGATCACATCAACAGAATGCCCTAAAGACATCTGATAGAACTCTACAACCCTCAGAAAACCACGAATTAAAGAAAATGTCCTTAACTTGATCAAAGGTATCTTTCAGAACCTATGGCAAATACACTTACTGGTGTAAAATTAGAAATGTTTCCACTACAAAAAAAATGGGAAAAGAATGCCTACTATGAACGCTTGTGTTCAACACTATACTAAAAGCCTTAGATTAAAAAGAAAGAAAAGGACTTCTCTGGTGGCGCAGTGGTTAAGAATCTGCCTGCCAATGCAGGGGACATGAGTTCAAGCCCTGGTCCGGGAAGATCCCACATCCCACATCCCACAGGCCGCAGAGCAACTTAGCCCGTGCGCCACAACTACTGAGGCTGCGCTCTAGAGCCCGTGAGCCACAACTATTGAGCCCGCGTGCCACAACTACTGAAGCCCGTGCGCCTAGAGCCCGTGCTCCACAAGAGAAGCCACTGCAATGAGAGGTCCGCGCACCGCAATGAAGAGCAGCCCCCACTCACAGCAACTAGAGAAAGCCTGTGCGCAGCAACAAAGACACAACGCAGTGAAAAATAAGTAAATAAAATTTTGAAAAGAACAAAAAATAAGAAATATCAGGGCTGAAAAAGAATAGATATATGTACATGTATAACTGAAGCACTTTGCTGTACACCTGAAACTAACACAACACTGTAAATCAACTATACTCCAATAAAAAATAAAAATTAAAAAAATTATATAAAAAAGAATTATCAGGGCTGACAAGAGTTAATAAAGAGGCTGCATATCAAACTATTAATGGGGAAGCACAGAGACTTCCATGATTTTCCCTTCATTTCTGTGTTGTATACATTTAAAGTATGTATTCATGCATTTGTTTTATAATGTAAGCAAACTTTTTTTAAAAAACGTTAATATCTTGCTAGGTCGATGGAGCATAAAGAACATGGCTTTTATAATCAGATATTGCATTCGAATGTAGGCGTTATTAACAAACTGTGACTGTGGGTAGACTTCCTTAAACTCTTTGAGCCTCAATTTTCTCATCTTGTAACGTGGAGGAAGAGAGAAATAAAGCGCAGCTCGCAAGGGCACTGAAGGGTAGTTTCTGACCCATACTTTTCAAGGAGACTGAGGAGACCACAGGAGTGGAAGAAGCCAAAAGCAGTATGAGTCAGACGATCGGTAAATCGGAAACTTTAAGTTCAAGACGTGCGAGTGTGGGGTTCAAGGGAACTTAGGAACGTGAACTTCAAACACGGGACCCCTTAGGATCGCAGCGCTAACGTAAGATACCTCCGGCTCCGCATCCCGCTGCCACATTCCGCTCCTAGCCCACCTTCTTCCGGAAACGCAGCCGCTTCGAGAAGAGGCGAGAAGAGCACACACGCACCTGCTGCAAGGAGCCGGAGACGCTGGCAGATGAGTCAGTGCTCCTCCGCTTACGGCGCTCATTGCGCTCCACGCTGCCCCCACCCCAGCAGCTGCCGCAGCTCCCACCGCCAGTGACACTTCCACTCAAGCTGGTGTTCCCGCAGCAGGTGACGCTCCCGCAGCCGCTGGCGCTCCCGCAACCGCTGGTGCTTCCACTGCCGCCGCTAGCGACGGCGGGAACCGGGTCCGGCGCCGCGAGCGCCGCCGCCGCCTCCTGACCGCTTCGTTTGCGCCGCTTCTCCCGGGAAGACTTCTTCCCCGTCATGATCCCTCTGCCGCAACCATCCGGGGAAAGCCCGCCGCTTGTGGATCGACCGAAACCCTGCCGCAGCAGCTAGAAGCGGGCACGGGGCGTCGCAGCTTTGACGTCACTTCCGGCCGCATCGCTGACGTCAGGAGGCGTTTCTGGAGCCGGGGCCGGGGCCAATAGCGCTGCCTCCGCCAGACGAGGAGGTAGGCTTGAGTTTGCGGCAGGTGAGCAGCGCGGGTGGTTTTTTGTTGTTTGTTTTCATACCCCTACAAAGGGCCGAAGGCGGAGCATTACAACAACTCTTTGCCTTATTGATATTGTTTTTCAATCTTTGTCTATATACAGTACACAGTAAGGTAAAGGTATATTGTTTGATTCTCCAGTGTCATTTGTCTTTCAGTTTTTGGTTGACAATGACAACAATAAAGAAAATTTAAGGGAAATCTCATTATCATCATCACGTGTATAGATTTTTTTTTTTAATGTATTATAGGGAGTTGTACAAGAGTAGGTTCTTCTGCTTCTTTGTTTTTCCCCATTAACACTACTCACTGGGCATGATGCCTTTTCACTCTAAAGGCCCTTGACGCTTGTATTTATTCTTTCTCAATTTATTTAATATTCAAATACTGGCGCTTAGGTTGTTGACAGCTTGGCACATTGTCAGAAAAATGCCGCTATATATAACTTAAGAAAACATTTACATTATTTTGTACTCAAAAAAAAGAAATTGACCAAAGGATATAAGCATCTTATTTTTCTTCTATTTAATCGAGTTCTTTTGAAAAAGAAGGGCTGAACCAACTTAGAATGTCATGCATACACTGAAATCTTTGTAAGAATTTGTTCTAACACATGATAATAGTAGTTTTAACTTGGATTCTTGACTTACAGTGTTGAATACTTTTCCACTGATTGAAACACTGTTTCCTCATCATCAAGTAGTCCGGTATTGTTTAACCTTTTATCTACCAGAATAAGTATAGCGAACTGCTAAATGTAAATTAATTCTTTATGTTGGGGAAAGGGGAGCAGGAATAAAATACTCTTGGCATATTAGTGTTGCTACCTTTTCTCTCTTCATTCTTTCCTCATAAACTGCCGTTTCACACTAGTTCATGGTGTTTTGAAGGAGAGGAAAACAAGAAGAGTTTAGGAGTGGAGGTGACCAATAAGGAGATCCCAGACCATTTTTTAAAGGGATTTGAGGCAAGAAATGCAAAAGAAAAGGAGCAGTGTGTGAAGGCAGCAATGGAAAAGAATAGAAGAGAATTTAGGGAGTACTTCCGGAGATTATGTATTTCCTGCATAGAGTGCATGAGGGACAAGAAAAAGACGAGTGAGTTTTTGAAAATAGATTATGGGTCATAGTTTTATGAATGTTAGCTTTTGTGGGCTGCTGTGTGGGATTTTTGGATCTAAACACAAACCAGGTTTTAAAATCAGAGATCAAGAACACATAAAAAAAAGTGTCACCTTTTGGCTTCGGTGGTCTCAGCTGAGGCCTTTAGCCACAGAAGGAAAAAGGTAAGGATAGGGCAACACTAGTTGGGTGGTAGTAATTTTCTAACTTTCATTGAGGTGACAGAAAGCACATTTTGACCACATTTCCTACCTGTCTCAGTCACTCAGCAACAATTTAGTAAGTGCCTAAAACAAACCAGGTTGCAGGGGCAATCCCAAGTCTGGGAAAATAGCTGTCTCCACTCCCCATTCCACCCTTATATTTGCCTTCTAAAGTCAGTGCTGAGGCCAAGCCCACTGTGCCCTCAGGAGTTCCATATTGGCCTCATTAAGTCTCATGCCTGAAAGGAATGGGAATATTACAGTATATTCACAGACAGAATAAATACATAAAATCAATAACATGTAATTGTTGTGACCTTGTTATGAACTGAATTATGTTCCTCCAAAATTTATATGTAGAAACCCTAACTAACCCAATATAACTATATTTGGGGTAGGGAGTTTAAGGAGGTAATTAAGCTTAAATGAGTTCATGAGGACAGGGAAAGGGCTTTGACTCATGGTGTGAATATGACATCCAGGTTGTCATAGAGTCAGTGAGATGCCATTGTCTATTTAGGTTGAACCATATGAAATTGCCTTTTTTCTAAGTCAAAACTGGTTGAATGGTGACAGTTTCATATGGTTCAACCCAATATTATAGAGCTTAAGAGGCCCAGCACTAAATATTGTTATGAACTTAAAAGCTCTGCAAGCAGATGCAGGACTGCTTTTCTGCCCTGGAACAGATATATGGGAGGGTGGACAGAGATTGGGATTTATATGCCATTTTCATAACTACTCTTCAGTGAGTTAACCCAGTGAGCATTAATCACAGTGATTGGCTAGGGACAGGATGCATTAATGCTGGGGCCAATCAGTACTTCTCTGGAATTTTATAAAGAGACATTAGATGAGAATTTTGCTCTTTCATCTTAAATTATGAACTATAAGGAAGTTACCTCATAGCTGCTAGTTGTCGTGTTCCCTGTCCTGGGAAGGATGCTAAGAGAATGAGACCAACAAGAGACACTTGCTGAAACAAGACACAGAAAGTCCTAATGGTGTCATTTTTCATCAGTGAGCCAATAATTCTTTTTTTTTTTAAGCTGATTTGTTACTTTCTGTCACTTGCAGCCTAGAGTCCCAATTAATACAACTTACGACATGTAAGATGTTCCAGGAACAGCATTTTTTTCTGCTGCCCCATAGCTTTCCTAGAAATATACCCTCCGAGACTATTCAAAAACCCCACCTCCACTCACCTTAACTACATCTAAGATTTCACTTCAAGTATCACTTCTTATTGAAAACCCTTCCAAATCACTTGCATTCTGAACCCTGCTAAGATTAGCCGCTTTTTCCTTTGTAACCTACTGTTCTCCCTACAGAGCAACCAAAACTCTCTACTGCAGGCACTTGCTAATATCTTCTTCAAAATACTGTTAGTTCTCATGAACAGAGGCTGTGTATTACATAGCTTTGTAGTCTCAACATATAATACAGTATCTGGCACATGCTAGAAACTCAATGCTTGTTAAACTCTGTACTGAGAAGTTGCAGATCCACACAGAGCTTCTTTCTATGTCGTCACTGTGGTAAATGGCATTAATGGCTCCAGGTCTTCACCTCTCTGTATTCGTGCCCTTTGCCATGTAATTTGATAATGTCCTTCTTCCACTGACTAGAGACATAATTCCTGCAAAGTGGAGTCAACCATATGACTTAATGAAGCCAAGGGGATATTAGCAGATGTGCAGCAAGCAGTCTCAATAAAAGCTTGTGCAGTTAAGATGGTCCACTCTTGTGCTTCCACCATCACCATAAAAATTATATACTCAGGCTAGCCCATTGGTCCCAGGAGAAAGAGGAGACAGATAGGGCTCAGCTGCCCCAGGTAAGCTATCCAGTCAAGTCCAGAGTAGAGCAGAGTCACAAATGAGCCTAGCCAGGATCAGCCAAACCCCAAACGAGTTAACTCCTGAGCTAAATAAATGCTATCGTTTTTGTTATTGTTTTCTGTGCAGTATTACTGTGGCTATAGTTAACTTATATGCATACTTTCTAGACTCCCCCTGCCCCCTCTTTCCTTGTATTTCTCTGCTAGTTATGAGAAGGACCTTCAACGCTGTTTGATATCAAATGAGTCACTGTTCAATGCTACAGCTGTACGATGGGTAGATGTGATTCTTATATTCTAACAGAAATGCCTTTATATTTCATGGTGAGGTTCTGTGGCATTATAAAGAAGTGTAAGGATATTTGTGTTTAGAGTTCCAACCAACTGCTTTTATTAAAAAATCATCAGGACACCACCACCCCCTACCACCTACATGGGCACTTTTTCCCCCAGTAGCAATAAAATCTAGTATTTTTCTTTTCCTTTTAAATATTCTTTGTACACAGCAGTCACTTTCATTGTTAAAGAAGATGTTAGACTTTGTTATCTTTGAAAGTAATGCTTGGTAAACACATATGTGGCAGATATTTTGCTAGCCTTTTTTTTTTTTTTTTTTTTTTTTGGCTGCGTTGGGTCTTCATTGCTATGCGCGGGCTTTCTCTAGATGCGGCGAGCGGGGGCTGCTCTTCCTTGCGGTGCGCGGGCTTCTCATTGTTGTGGCTTCTCTTGTTGCAGAGCACCGGCTCTAGGTGCACAGGCTTCAGCAGTTGGGCTCAAGGGCTCTAGAGCGCAGGCTCAGTAGTTGTGACGCACGGGCTTATTTGCTCCGCGGCATGTGGGATCTTCCCGGACCAGGGCTCGAACCTGTGTCCCCTGCATTGGCAGGTGGATTCTTAACCACTGCACCACCAGGGAAGCCCATATTTTGCTAGGCTTTTACACAAATATCTTATTCTTCTATTTTATGAAATCTCAATGTAGAGATATGTAAACTGGGACTGAGGTTAAGCAACTTGCCTTAACTCATTAGTAAGTGGTGGAAATATCACTGAACTATATGGCTTTTTAACTCCAAAGCCAGTACTCTTTTGCTATATTACACTGCATCTCTGGTTGCTCTTACTACTGAAATTTTAAATGATGTAGACGTAAGCAAACATTTCTTGAATTTATTAGTTCCTTTGAGGACACAAGAATGAAAGAAATGTGGTTTGAGGACTTGTTTCAGGCCACTTTTTTTCTGCTCTATGTATCAACCTTACATGCCACTACCAACCATCATAGTTGCTATTATGATAAAGTGAAGTGGCTACTACAAATCGAGATTTTTCTCCATATGGATGTCCAGTTTTGCCAACATCATTTTTTAAATATAATTTTGTTTTGTTACTACTGACTTGTCAAAAAAATTTACTTGACCTCTTTCAGTTTCTTCACCTGTAAGATTACTAGCAGTACTTGCCCCATGGAAATAATGG